ACATTTAAATTTAGTAAAAAATCTGATGTATATAGTGTTGGTGTTCTTTTGTGGGAATTATCTAGCGGTTACCCACCTTTTAGGGATGACGTTGAGCCGTATCAACTTGTTTCATTAATTTTGGATATTAAAAATGGTGTTCGAGAAACTCATATCGAAGGAACACCGTCCACATATATCAAGATCTATTCAGGTGTATTTTATCTGTTGTATTTTTATCTTTAACGAAAATTTTACTCATAATTTTAATTAATAAATAGATTGTTGGCAACACGATCCCGATAATCGACCAGATATTCAGCATGTCTTTTTAGACCTAAAAAATTTAATTACCAATGATAAACAGTCTATAAATAGTATTTCTCAATACTCGAATACATTAGAAACTCATGGGTCTATTCGATTAGTTGTTCAAAGTAGTTTGTTTATTTCTGATTCAACAGAGGGAATTTTAATGCAAAATACCTCATCATCATTATTAAACTATGATGAAATGTGTGATTATGAGAAAAGACTTTTAGATCTAAATAAATTATTGGAAATCGATCCAAATAATATAACAGCTTTAATAAGCCGTGGAGAAATTTACTGCATAATGACCAGATATGAAGATTCACTCGTAGATTTTAATATATCATTTGAAGTCGAACCAAATAATCTATTCGCATTAAAAAATCGTGGTGCAGTATACTGTCATTTGAAAAAATATATAGAATCACTTGACGATTTAAATAAATCGTTAGAAATTGAACCAAATGATGTATTTGCGTTAAAAAATCGTGGAAATACTTATCGCATGATGAGTAAATATAAAGAATCACTTGTGGATTTAAATAAATCATTAGAAATTAACCAAGTGATGCATTTGCGTTAAACCATCGTAGTGCAACTTATTTTATGATGGATAAATATGAAAAATCACTTGCGGATTTAAATAAATCATTAGAAATTAAGCCAAATGATGCATGGGCATTATGTAACCGTGGAGCAACTTATCGAATGATAGGTAAATATGAAGAATCACTCGCAGTTTTAAATAAATCATTGGAAATTGAACCAAATAATGCATGGGTATTAAGGCAGCGTGGAGCAACTTATCGTCAGATGAATAAATATGAAGAATCACTCGCAGATTTAAATAAGTCATTTGAACTTGAACCAAATAATGTATTTGCATTAAATGAACGTAGAGCAACTTATTGTCTGATGAATAAATATGAAAAATCACTTGTAGATTTAAATAAATCATCAGAGCTTAAACCAAATGAGTGCGTGAGAATGAAAACCTGTAACTGATCATAGTAAATCATTATAATCAGTTCCAGGTTTTTATTCTCACGCACTCAAATAAATGCATTCACATTATGTAACCGTGGAGCAACTTATCGAATGATGATCAAATATGAAGAATCACTTGCAGATTTAAATAAATCATTGGAGCTTGAACCAAATGATGCATGGGCATTAAAGCAGCGTGGAATAACTTATCGTCAGATGAATAAATATGGAGAATCACTCGCAGATTTAAATAAATCATTGGAACTTGAACCAAATAATGTATTTGCATTAAATGAACGTGGTATAACTTATCGTCTGATGAATAAATATGAAGAATCGCTTGCAGATTTTAATAAATCATTGGAACTTGAACAAAATGATGCATGTGCATTACGTAACCGTGAAGCAACTTATCGAATGATGGGTAAATATAAAGAATCACTCACAGATTTAAATAAATCATTGGAAATTGAACCAAATAATACATTTGCATTAAGCGAATATGCACACGTAGATTCCATGATAAAAATTAAATCTAATAAAGCTAATAATACATTACATTAAGAAAAATTAGTTTTCTAGATTAAAGAAATTTTAGTCTTGATTTTAATCCGTATACTAAAAAGAAACTGTATTATTGGCAAATTTAAAATAGAACTAGTTACTTATAATATTTAATAAAGCTATAAATATAATTTTATGTTTCAATTATATATATTTGGCTGTGGTAATTTCATTAATTTATAGTAGTAATTATAAATAATGCAGCAACGAAAGATTCCATTTTGCATAACTCAAACTATATAATTTTTTGTAAATTTGGTTTTTTTAATACTAATTGCTGTGTTTTTAAAACAAATATATTTTAAACTACCCTAAATGCATGTTTGCTAAATATATATTCTATAAAAATTTTTGTAAATGCATACATTCATTTGACTCAACTAATATAATAATTATATTTTTATGCGTAGTAAATTTTAAATACATAATTAAAAAATTTTATATAGTTTTTTTTTTTACTTCAGCAATCCTACCTTTATTTTATAAATCAGAAGTAGATTATAAAAATTGCTCTCAGTTAGCTAAACCTACATGCAAATCCCTAAACTACTATATTCCTGTCCAAATAAAGATTCTCTTGATCTGTTTTATTATTGCAGTAAGAAATAAAGTAAACCCTAAATCTTACACTAGAGTATGACCCAGAAGCAACCCGCCTAAGTGACAATTTTCCTTCTTCCAGGATCCTCAACTTACTGAGGATATGAACCCTGGATATCAACAGATGGAAGCATAAACCTTGTCAGAATCACTACTCTACAATAGAGTGTCACCAATCTGATGACACTTTCTTGTAGAGAAATAAAAAAGAAAAAAAAATAGTAAGAGTAAAACAAAAATGGGGAAAGTAAAAAAGAAACAACTAAGAAGATGACCAAAATACAAAGGAATTAAAAACTATCTTAAAATCTAAGAGAACTTGTCTACAGATATAAAAACCTGCTAACTAGATAAAAAACTATATACATGATCATAGAAATCTATATATAGAGCTATCTAATAAAAAGAAAAGAAATTAAGAACTAAAGTGCACTTTAACCTATGCTAAAGGCTAAAAATTATATGTATATGACTTTGGAATATTGCTCTAGTATATTGCTCTAACTTGCAACTCTTATTTAAATCTATCTTGAATTCTAGAATACTAATTTTAAAGCCTTGACATGTAATTGTCAATTCTATTTATAATAGGCTGTTCTTTCCAATTTTACAAAATTCTCTTACAGTTTTTTCTATTGCCTTGCTTCTTCACTATACAAGTTTAAATAAGAGGTCTTCCCTATGGTTAACTGGTATCATTGAAAGCTACTTCCTCAGGTCTGTTGCATAAGGTCTTCATTCCTATACAATCAAAACTAATCCAAACACAGGACTTCTATATACTTTGATTTAACCCAAACAGAACTTTTTCCTTATACATGATTGTTGTGTTTCTTATTTATCATATCATAATTCAAGATTTTCTGAAAATGAAAGTAGTAAACATTGCTGATTTTTTGGAGGAGGGTAGCCAAATCTCCACTTTTTGACAAAAATTATAAAAAAAAAGAGCAGCAGAAGAAAAGTGTAGTTTTGTGAGTTTTTCAACCAAAGAGTATTGTTCCAAGAGTTCTTTATAGTCTTCAGTTTCCAAAATAACTTGAGTCTTTTCTCTACTTACTGTTTTCAGAGACTCCTCTAGTTTAGATGCTAAATGCAAAGAGGAGTCTACCCAAAAGAAGAAAGAGCTTGATCTCTTTGCAAACCGTCCAGAATGTCTGCCCCTTAGTGTATCATGTTAAAGACTTTATCAACAACAGTTTGTATTAAGAAAACTACAAGTTTTTGTTTACTTCTGGTCTTAAGTCTTCTACTTGCTTTTGGGTACTGGTTGGTACAAGTGATTGTTGAGAAGAGTTGCTGATTATTTGCTGAATTTTATATAGTTTTAATATTGTATTTAAAAAAATATAACTATAGTAACTAAACAATATAATTAAAATTTTTTTTATAGTTTAACATTATATTTAAAGAGATATAACTATAGAAACTGAACTTTATAAAAACAGTTATATGATGAATTTTTTGGTATTAAGGTGAAGTTTTGCCTTATTTTTTATTAAAATTCATATTAAATTCTAGGGAATTTGCAGATAAGGGCCCAAACCAAAAATAAACAAAAATAATTACAAATAAGGAACCAAAATAAAAAATAATTACAGATAGAGGCCTGATATCTGAAAATTATTACAAACTAGAATATGATCATACGGGCAGCTTTACTGTCTATAATATACTAAAGAAATATATTGATTTGTTTTATTCTTATTTTTATTTCAGAAAGAAAATTTTTCTTAAGCTTTTCCATCATTAGATGTCTATCTTGAATTTATTGCACTAATTTGGACCACTTCAGGGCAAAAGCAGCGCATTAAATTTAGATATTTCATCTAGTATTTAATGCACTAATTTGGGCACCTCTAGAGCAAAGATGTTGTATTAGATTTAAAGCATTTCCTTTCCATTATTAGATATTCTATCTTGAATTTAATGCACCAATTTGGTCCTTTCAGGGCAAAGTGGTATATTAGTTTAAAGTGATTCCTTTTCTGTCATTAGATGCTCTGTTTTGAATTTAATGCACCAATTTGGGCCCCTCTGGGGCCAAAGTTGGTGCATTAGATTTAAAGCTTTTATTTGTCATGTGAAACTATAAAACAGTTACTGGATGTTGCATATTCAATATATTCTGATCGGATATAAATTGCAATTAGTAAATGAATATAGTGCACATTTTCAGAATGTGGCAAAGTGTAAACTTGATCTCTGTTGTGTATATAGAATAACAAATCACGTAAATTTTGTGTCAAGTCAAAGAGTTGAGGAGTCTGAGTTTACGAGTTTTCGTTGCAATTCTTCTGTCTTTCGCCATATTCTTTGACAATCAGTGATTATCAATTCATCATACTGGCAAAAAATTTGATTAAAATTTAAAAAACCTCAAAGAGTAGAAGCATAACTATAGATAGGAGTACATAAAAGTGCCAAAAGAATATTCCTGACTAAAATAATTATTACAAATATAAAATATCTTATTTTAAAGGTTAATTTTAGTTAAATGAAGCTTCAGGCATTTGAAATTGTAATAAATTCAAAGCAGGTGTTAATATTAAACACGAACATCTTCATTTAATGGCACAAAATAAAATTGATAAGATTTTGGTATATAATCACTTAATACTTAGATTAGAGTCGGCCCAAAGGATTATACGAATATATGTAAGTTATGGAATATATTTCTTCAGATATAATTAAATAGATGATAACAGTTGATATTGGGCCAAGAGATGAAAAATAACAAGAAATGGTTTCATCAAAGCTAATGTCACTCTCATATTCTGATAAACTGTACAACAAAAATATCAGATAATGATTTTACAGCATATGTCATCTTTCAATTAGATTATTTTTTTTTCACAGTGGCCTGATTATATTAGTTTTATTACATTTTTTCTTTAAATAACTAGAGGATGTAGATGTGGGTGGTTTTGCCACCTGGTTGAGACTGTTATATATTATTTCTTAAAAAAAAAATAATGTATAATGGTTAAATGAGATTATATTAGTAGATTTA